GAGAAATCTCCATACTGTTTTCCATAGTGGCTCCACCAGTTTACATTCCCACCAGCAGTAGATGAGAGCTCCCTTTTCTCCACAGCCTCTCCAACATTTGTTGTTTTTGTCTTTGTGATTATAACCATTCTAAAGGGCATAAGGTGGAATCTTAGCGTAGTTTTGATTTGCATTTCCCTGATGATTAGTGATGTTGAGTATCTTTTCACGTGCTTATTGGCCATCTGTATATCTTCTTTGGAAAAATGTCTGTTCATATCCGCTGCCCATATTTTGATTGGATTGTTCATTTTTTTGTAGTTCAGTTGTATGAGTTCTTTATATATTATGGAGATTAACCCCTTTCAGATACATGATTTGCAAATATTTTCTCCCAGTGGGTGGGTTGTTTTTTTCGTTTTAATCCTGGTTTCTTTTGCCTTCCAGATGCTCTTTAGTCTGATGAAGTCCCACTTGTTTAATTTTTCTTTTGTTTCCCTTGTCTGAGTAGATATGGTATTTAAAAAGATCCTTTTGAGGCTGATGTCAAAGAGTGTACTGCCTAGATTCTCTTCCAGAAGTTTTATGGTTTCAGGCCTTACCTTTAAGTCTTTGGTCCATTTTGAGTCTATTTTTGTGTATGGAGAAAGATAGTGGTCAACTTTCATTCTTTTGCATGTGGCTGTCCAGTTTTCCCAGCACCATTTATTGAAGAGACTTTCCTTTCTCCATTGTATGTTCTTGGCTTCTTTGTCAAAGATTAGCTGTCCGTAGATGTTTGGTTTTATTTCTGGTATTTCAATTCCATTCCATTGATCTGTGTGCCTGTTTTGTACTAGTACCACGCTGTTTTGATTACTATAGCTTTGTCATATATTTTGAAGTCTGGGATTGTAATGCCACAAGCTTTGTTCTTGTTTCTCAGGGTTGCTTTGGCTATTTGGGGTCTTTTCTTGCCCCATATGAATTTTAAGATTCTTTGTTCTATTTCTCTGAATAATGTCATTTTGGGATTCTGATTGAGATTGCATTGAATCTTTAGATAGCTTTAGGTAGTATGGACATTTTAACTGTTTATTCTTCCAAGTCATGTGCATGGAATATCTTTCTACTTCTTTATGTCATTATCAATTTATTTCAGTAAGGTCTTATAGTTTTCCTTGTATAGGTCTTTCACCTCCTTGGTAAAATTACTTCCTAGATATTTTATTCTTCTTGTTGCAAATGTAAATGGGATTGTATTCTTGAGTTCTTGCTTTGTTAGTTTGTTATTGGAGTATATAAATGCCATTCCTGAGGTAGCTGGCTGCTGTTGGGAAGAGGAAAGTCCCCCTTACCAGCTTCCACTTCCTCCACAGGATCCAGGCCCACCACCTTCAGATGTAGGGCTGTGTGGGTCTCTCAGACATCTTTTGTGTTGTGTGAAAGTCCTATTGGTGTCTGAATATCCTTTTGGTTGTACTTTAGAGGGGAGAGTTTAAGGGGAGAGCTCACTCCACCATGATGCTGATGTCACTCCCCATGATATCAAAATGTAACAACTTTTAGTAAAAATTTTAAAATTAAAGGACTTACCCAACCATTATTCTCACTTTGGGGATATCACTTTTTGTACACATGGACATTTAAAAAAACATAATTTCCATCTTATTATACTGAATTAAAATACCTTTTAAGTATTTTGACATAGATGTTTGGACCAGGTAGATTCTATCCAGCTAGCAGAATAAAAATTTTGGTGTTCAGAGAGGAAAAAGCAAGGTAGGCAACATACCTGACAGAATGAAGTCTTAAGGCTTCTGTCTGTAGGGTACATGAGAGAAAATCTCTACCTGGGGAAGGGTGTCTAGCTTACGAGTCCTCACATAGGTCTGGGTCCTACAGGCCCTTCCATAAAGAATCCTAGGCTGGAGTCAGATGAGTAGAGTGAAGCCCTCTTTTAGGATTTTTCCTTTTTTGTCTTGAGATGCTTCATTTCACCTCTTCCCCACACAGCTGATTAATACTGTGAATTAGATCCTGACAGATACAGAGGAGTAGGTAGCACTGTTTCTAGCACAAGTTCATTAACTAATCATATGATAATTATGTAATTAAGTAATTATGGTAGTCAAATGATAAATAAAAATTCTATACAATAACAAAGTTACGATACAATAAAAAGGTTTGCTCCTTTACAATAATTTCCCTATTATTTTTTGTGTAACCTTCAAAATATCATTTTAGTGCACTGTAATTTACTCCATCATTCTCTTATCTTGATATTCAGGATACTTCTGATTTCTTTCTATTATAGATAATGTCGTGATAAATACCTCTGCAGACATATTTTTTCCTCACGTTATTTCCTTACTACAAATTGTCAGGACTGAGAGAAAAAAACAATACTTTCATACCTTTTCTTGTGTGCTATCATACTGCTTTCTAAAAAGGTTGTACCATTTATAAAGGCACCAAAAAACATGAGTGACCAATTTAAGCACATACTTCACTGGCATTGGGTATTACAATTCAACACCAAAAATTGCTAATACAATAGTAGTAAAACTGTAGCTCAAGTTTACTTTGACCTGCAATTCTCTGAGGAACTACCAGGATGGTCATTTCATGAGTTCTCTTATTGAGCATAAAAGAAAATTTCAACTATGGCTTAAGGCAAGTCTATATAGTCATTATTTGCAAGAATAAGGAGAATTTATCAAGTTTTTCCTTTCTTTTTTTGAGGAAGATTAGCCCTGAGCTAACTGCTGTCAATCCCCCTCTTTTTGCTGAGGAAGACTGGCCCTGAGCTAACATCCATGCCCATCTTCCTCTACTTTATATGTGGGACGCCTGCCACAGCATGGCATGCCAAGCGGTGCCATGTTCACACCCGGGATCCAAACTGGCGAACCCCAGGCCACTGAAGCAGAACGTGTGCACGTAACTACTCCACCACCGGGCCAGCCCTCAAGTTTTGTTAAATACTTTACCAACTAAAAAAAAATAATTCCACAAATTTAAATGATCAATTACATCATGCTAAAGTTTTCTCTGATCTTTCTCAGAATTCAAAGATATACTTAAAAGTTTAATCAGTGTGCCCATTGCAGGGTCTGTCTTTTCCATTTGAGATTACTTACATTTTTATGCATTGAAACAATATATTTATTTTTTAAACGTTATGAAGGGTTTGAATTTATTGATATGTAGTTTTCTAAATATCCAACTATTTTAGAATGATTGTTTCAAAATTTTCATTACTGTAAATAGCAATGCTATAAACACCTTTGTACAAATTGTTATTCTCCTTCTCTTGCCTCCATGATTACTCCCCTTGGAATGTCACCTCAAAAGTGGGATTACAGGGTCAAAGGATATGCTTAGTTTTATTGTTCTTGTTAACATAATGTTTTGTGGGGGGTTTTTTTGGTGAGGAAGACCGGCCCTGAGCTAACATCTGTTGCAGTCTTCCTCTTTTTGTTTGAGGAAGATTGTTGCTGAGCTCACATCTGTGCCCATCTGCCTCTATTTTATGTGGAATGCTGCCACAGCATGGTTTGATGAGCAGTGTGTAGGTCCACACCTAGGATCGGAACCTGTGAACCTGGGGCCTCCAAAGCGGAGTGTGTAAACTTAACACTACACCACTGGGCTGGCCCCTTAATGAAGTTATTTTTAAGCAATTAACTAAACTTGTTTTAAAATAGGCACTTCAACTGAAACCAAGGTGTTTTCCATTGAACTAGACATATTTATAAGACATATTTTAGAAAAGGAGAAATGGCAAAAAAAATTCTGAAAACTATTTTAAAACTCTCTTCTAGAAAGGTAATATTTTATATTCACCAACCATTGGGAAACTTACATAGAATTAGAAAGGGATCAGAGATCGTTAAATTTAACTCCTTAACCTCTCTACACCTTAGTTTCCTAATGTGCAAAAAGTATATAATACTGGGGTTGTGGAGACTAAAATGAGTAATATACATAAAACACTTACCTCATTGTCTGACACACAGTAAATTATCGGTAAATATTAATAAATATTATAGTATAGCTGTTACAGTTAGCACATACCAAACGGAAGCGGCCGTTCACGGACTCGGGAGTTGCACGCCGGGCGTCGTGCTCGAAGCCGGGATGCAGGTGCGGGAGGCCCGGCGCCCTCGCGGAGCCGGCTCCAGGGCACGGACGCCACGGGCTCCACGTCAGCCGGTGCCTGTGACGGGACGGCAAGGCGGGAGAGCAGAGAAAGAGTGCGGGCACTCAGGGAAGTTCTGAAGGAAGGGCAGGAGGAAAAAGAGTTCCGGACAGACTTTTCCTTGCAAATATGGTTAAAGTTTTGAGGACACGGACCATTTCTTTCAGATTTTGGTAGCACGGCATGAACCACGCAGGAGACCTGAAATATACTGCATTCTCTATTAGGGCTAGAGTAGGTGTCATCTTCAGTCTGATGAGAGCTACAGTTTTTCTATTATTTCACTTTTAAAAAATAATCGTGTGACTTTTTGCACGATAACACTTTCACGTGATTCAAACACAAAACCTGTAAAAAAAAAGGTCTTCAGCAAGGTCTTCCACCCTCTCCCGTCTCCATCTGCACAGTGCCCGCTGCTCCCAACACTAACTTATAAGCTGTTTCTTCATTCTTCCAAAGATTTTCATAAACACGGATGGATAAGCCAATAAACGTTTTACTTAAACTAGGAAACACACGGAGCATCTAGAGCTCACATCCTAAAAGAATATCAATCCCACGTTCCCCGGCGGCTCAAGCCTCCCGGCCTGGCTTCGACGCCCCAAGGCCCCAGAAGACGGCCAAGTAACCCGGAAGTGCCTCAGGGCCCGGAACCCGGAAGCGCCCGTGGGCTGGAAGAGGTGAGCCTAAGCGCCGCGGGGGAGCGAGAGGCGCTCGCCTGAGGTGACTTGTGCTGTTGCCGGCGTGCCCTGGGCTGTGGCGCAGTCACCTGCCCTTTTCGTCCAGGGCACACCTAAGGGTGCGGGCTGCGTCTCCAGCCGCCCAAGCTAGCCCGTCCTCCCTTGGCTGACCGGCGGCGTCTAGAACCTTCGGCCCGGCAGCCCAGCGCGGCGGCTCCTGCGCGCGAGGCCGCGGGTGGTCTTCCGCCGTCCTGCCCGGCGCCTCAGGTCTGTGCGCTTTGCTTCGAGCTCCGCGTGCGCGGCGGGCCAGCTCGGGCCTGGCGGTCTTCGCTGGGGACGGGAGTAGGCCCGGCGCAGCAGCCCCTCACACCTCCAGGCCTGGGGTTGCGTGTGGGACGCCGGCCGACCCAAGCAGGCCCCGCCTCGCCTCCCAGCGGCGCCTCGCGCGCGTGCCGGCTGGTGCACACGCCGCGGGTCGCCGCGGGCCTGTCGCCGCCGCCGCCTCAGGCCTGCGGGCCCGCCGGGCAGCGGCGCTGCTGCGAGGACAGCGGCTGCGGGGGCCCCGCCCTGGCGCGTCCCGCCCCCAGCAGTGGGCGGCGTCTGGGCGCAGTGGGGTCCGGCGGGGCGCGTGCCGGCTCCGGTCCCGTCGGCCGTAGTGTCCAAGCGCTCCCCGCGGGGCGGTTCCGACGGCGTGGACGCGCCCCGCATGGCGAGGGCGCCCGGTCCTCAGCCTGCCCCAGCCCTGGCGATGCCGCGGCCCGGTTCTGCTGACGCCGCGAGGAAGCTGCGGGGGGCGGGCGGGGGCGCGCTGCTCTGGCTTGTCGGTTGTTGCCGAGGCGGCCAGACCGCGAGGGGCGGCCCTCACGGGGCGTCCTCGCGGGCGTCGGCGCGGCTCCTCGAGGCGGCGCTGCCGGCGGGCGTCCCGGCGGCCCGCGCCGCGGTGCTTCTTCGGTGAGGGGCGCCCGGAGGCCCGCGGGGAAGGCGCCCTCAGAGCGCTCCTCAGCTCTGGTTACGCTCCGTTAGCAAGCACTGTCCGTCGGGCCAGAGCAAACACCTGAACGAGGGCCCGAGACAAAGCCCCCGAGGCGCTGCTCACCCTCTCTCCGAGCGGCGCGCTCTTCTAGTCTCCCTTTTATTTTGTTCTAGTCTAGCCTGCCGGGTAGAAAAGCTCTGCTTGAGACCCGTTACATGGCTGGCTTGGCCCGCGGTTGGGGCGCAGGCTGCAGTCGTCGCGCGCGAGGCCGTGGGGTCCCCTTGCTTGCGAACGCTCAGCGGCGGAGCGCGCTGGGAGGTGGGTGTGAGGGCTGCGCTCGGAGGGGCGCTCGACGTGACGGTGGCCTCTTTGTGGAAGGTCTCGCTCCTCAGCCAGTCCTGGGGTAGTGAGTGCTGCTTACTGGCAGATGATTCTTTATGATCAGTTTATGCGCTAGCGAGGTAAGAATATAGAAGACTCTCATAGGTTATGACCCGTAGGAACTTTCTGTTAATAATAAGAAAAGCCTTTCGGAAATTCTCTGGTGCTGAGAGTAGTTGCATATAAAACGAAAACTTTTATTTTCAGTTTATGTTCAATGAGCAAAAAATTTCCAGCTGTACTAGTTAGCCTTGTACACCTGCAATTTATATAAGCTTATAAGCCAGTGTTAATCACAATTTAAAAAAAAGGTTTTTTCCTTAAAAAGAAACAGAATCAGCTTTTATGAAGACATTTTGGCAATTTATTCTTGTTTCAAGTTTGGAATATTTGGGAGTTTACTTAAAGGTTATAAGTGTTTTAAGAAATGTTGAAAAGATTTTCCTATATTTTATTTATAAGATGGCCAAAATTATGTACTTGATCCAAAGATCTCTGTTGTGTTGCTTTAGGTTAATTGAATTTATAGTGTCTTTAATAGTTTACTTTATGTTTGGTTCCATATGATCCTTATGGAGATAATTTCCAATTCTCATTTCCTTCAAACACCTCAGAATGTCTAGAATATGAGTATTTCTAAATTTCTAAAATTTGTTTAGGAAATCACTACTTCTTTTCTTAAAACAAGGAGAAAGTTGACAAAGATTTTACAGTGAATAGAGAATATTTTACTCGTGGTAATTCAAATTATTTTCTTTTAATAAATTCAAAATGTTGTAATAATTTTACGTAATTTATAGTAATTTAATAAAATATTTACTGTGCTCCCAAAGTGTTTTCCATTAGAGCTTAATAAACCTAAAAAATGAAAGAATTAATGAAAAAATAACATTACTAATGGCAGCATTATACATTGACATAATAAAGTGCAAAATTATGTGGAATAGGCAATAAGAATGGGGGAGTATACACAAGAAGGTGCTAATCATATGATAACAGGCAACAAGTACAGTTGAGAAAAGGAGCATTTGATCTGAGCTGGATTCATAAGAAAGCTTCCTGGGGGAGACGGAATTTGATCTGATTTTGAAATGTGTTTAAACATAAAAGATAGAGAAAGGCACTCTATATGAGAGCAGAATGCTGAAGGTATTAATTAGTTCAAGCTTCTTAACATGGATGAAAAACCCCGGTAAGACCTGCCTGCTCCTCAAGCCTCATCTCGAATCTTCTCCCAGCCTTACGTGTTACACTCTGATCTCCTTAAAACTGTTTTTGGTTCCTCATTTAAAATGATGTTTTGTCCATCTATGCCTTTGCTAATGCTGTTTTTCCCTTCTAAGATACTCTTACCTAACTTTTTCACTTTGCTAACTTCTTAACTTTTAAGATTTTTAAGTCTCAGCCCAGAAGTCACCTTCTCCAGGAAGTCTCTGACCTTCTCAAGCCTTCCTTGACTTTCTCTTGCTGGATTGGAAGCTCCTCCTGTCTGCTGCCATAATACTCTCTAGGCGTCTCTACCATTGCATGTGACCACATTGTATTATAATTATCTTTATATGTCTGTATCTCTCTAGCAGAGTTCCCTGAGGACCAGGACTCTATGTTGTTTTTTTTTAATCATTACATTTTGAATATGGAAGGGGCTCAATTAATGTTGAATGAATGTTGCTTTCTGTTTCCTTTATTCGTTTACATTAACATTTTCAGGCTTTAAGATTTTCCTTAGTTCTGGAATTTTGAAATTCATTTAACAAGATCTGGTTTACACTGGATTTCTAAAGTCCTGTTTCTTTCTGGAACCTCAGCAAACTTTGTATCTTGGCCTTTCACCTTATTTTTCTGCTTTCTAAGAAAGAAAGGAGTATTGTTCCCTTTTCTTCTGAGGCTAATCATTCCTTGATATATTTCCCCTCTACTTAACTGTCAGACCTCACTCCTTCAATTATCCTCTCTCTTTTCATATTTAATCATGTGATCTTTACTGGCTTTTTCTATAAAATGTAAAATGTTTGATTTTTTCTACTGTCCCTTCCTGTTCTTGATTACTTACGACCTTAAACTACTACCTTATAATCTCACTTCACATCTCATTTGTGCAAATTGCTCATCAGTGACCTCCTACTTTCCAGATCAGTGTGTGTCAATAAGAACTATCCTCCTATCCTTCAGCCATGTTTGATTTCCCTTGCTTAGGGTCTGTCTCAGAATCCTCCTTTGTGAACAGTTTCTTGAATTCTTCAATAATCTAAAATCTCTTCTCTGTAGGTTAATTAAATCAGAATTTTACTGCTAGAAGTAGTACTAGACAGCAACTACTCCAGTTTGCTTTTGCTGTTGTAACTATTTTGGTATTGAGAAAGGATATTTACAAATTAACAATCAAGTAAAAATTTAAACTTAGTTTAGTATCCTTATTTTATATGTGAAGTAAATGAGGCTCAGGCACTGTCTACTTTGAACTCTTTGAACACTTAGAGCACCCTTTTTTATCTGTTATGTCTTATATCATGCCTAGTGTTAATCATGTCTGGGGTTACACTTATTTGAATAAATGCTTTATCTACCTTTCTAGACCTTGAAGATAAAGACTATTGACTCAAAATTTGTATTCCTTACAGTTTCTTGACCCGAGAGATATATTGAATTCTATCACTTTTATTCTTTATTGTCTCTATATAAGAAGGCTTATTTTAAAAATCCACTTGTGGATACTGTTGCATTTTCCTTCATTATATAATTGTTCTTCTCTAGGTCTTTTGTAGTATTGTGATATCTGTCTTAACATTTCTCTGTCACGGTTACAGAACACACTCTGCTTGCACATGCTGCCTTATTTAACTTCTGGTTTCCAAGTATCTTCTCCCTTCTTTTCCAAAGGATATGAGTGATCTGTTCCATTCAGTGCAACATGCAGTGCAACAAATATTAATTGAGTGACTGACTTTTGTAAATTATTGTATTAGGCAGTGTGAGGATACAAAAGTGAAACTTCGGCCTCTAGTCAAGGAACTTACAATATATGGCTAACACAACCATTGCTAATAGAAGACAGGCTGTGAGTGCAAATATAATCAATTCCAGTTTGGCAGTGTGCTGTATGGAACATACAAGACCGTTTGGTTCTTCACTTTTAGAGGGGATACACTCTAGGAAATGTAATATTTATGATACTGTTATATTATAGAGCATCTTGATGGAGTTAAGGAGGTTTCCCAATGAATCTTGTAGCAATCCAAGATCAGATAATTAGTGTTTATATATTTTTAGATCATGTTTTAGTAATGTTTTCTCAATCTTTTTTTTCAATCTACACATGCACAAGCTTGTGTATAGTTAATGAATACAGTTTTTCACATAAGACTTCACTTTTTGTGACAAATGTCATCCGCATTTTACGTTAAAATATTATATTAATAATTACTTAAGAAGGAGATATAAGACTGATTCAGCATTCAGTTCAAGTCATAAGAGTATTCCTAAGAATAAAAGGCAATATGATGAAACCAATTTATGGGCTATTTAAGAAAAAAAAGGAAACTTGGGATACTAGCTCTTTAACAAAGACTTTTTTGGGAAAAATTCTTTCAGTTTTAGATACTGAAAAAATCTGATTTGTTTTGTATTTGAAAAGCTATTGTTGATGATTTGGTTTATACTCTTTGAATGTTTTAGCTAATGTCAAGGCCTACCAATTGTTATTATGTGAAATGATAGTGTGAAATTGATGCTGTTATAGTATAACAATAAGGACGTGACTCATGTATTTTATGTACCCATGCGTTCAACTGTAGTGACAAATGGCTCCATGCTGTGTGATTAAATGCATATTAGCGTTTGCCCTAGGCATTTGATTATTACCATCTTTACTTCATTACATTACCACACTGTATGGCCATATAATTTATAAGAT